CCAGGACTAAACCAGGACTAAACCAGAACTGAACCAGGTCTAAACCAAAACTGAACCAGGTCCAAACCAGGAATAAACCAGAACTGAACCAGGACTGAACCAGGTCTAAACCAGGAATAAACCAAGACTAAACCAGGACTGAACCAGAACTGAACCAGGTCTAAACCAGAACTGAACCAGGACTAAACCAGGACTAAACCAAGACTAAACCAGGACCAAACCAGGACTAATCCTGGACTAGAACTTGGAATCTAGCACCGCCCCTGAGTGAACCCCGAGTGCGCTCGGGCGTCAGCTGCGTTTATCTCGGTGGAGCGCGGACTTGTGCGTCGGTCCTTTCGCTCAGGATCACGGTCTACGCGGGCGCACCTCCGGCGTTTCACCGCTGCTGATATCGCGGTGATTTTAGCAAATTTGTATGAAGAAAAACGAAAAACCCACCATTTCAATCCAGGTTAAAAAAGCATTGTGACGCGCGTTACTGACATATGTACCAAGTAAAATAATGCGCGCGCGGAGCAGCACGTCCTGTGCGTGTAGATTTCAGAAAATAGGATCCATCCTATTTTTTGACGCTCTACACGAGCTGAGGCGCGTGTCTCCGTCAAAATCCACAGAGAGCATGTATCTATTGTTGTATTTGTGCATTTACCATCAGCACATTGTGCTCCCTGGGCAGTTGTGGATCATGTGAAAGAGCCCAGATCCACACAGACTGTTAATTAGTGCTTTGAAAGTCAGCCTGTACAGAAGGTAAATACAAGCTGCTAAACGCGCCCAGTCAAGTTTGATTGACTTTCCCATTGAGAGACACAAGAGCCCGTACGTTCCGCTAAAGCTGCCGGTGGAGTCGCCTTCACGTTGACACGCGGCTGTGGTTTCACGAGGTGAAGTGCGAGCAGATCGTCACTCGTCAGGTGAAAACAAATTCCGACGTTTAACTGAAGCCCAACAGTGACGTACGTCGTTCATCACACATAATTTGAACAAATTCACGTTCAAGTTCTTGATTTACAAAAGTGTTGCGTTCAGTTCAAAGTTCACTGAAAAATGAACGTGTTCAATGAACGCGTTCTTTTGAACTCGTTCATGCACAACACTGCACCACGACCAGACCGGGACCAGACCAGGACTTAGACCAGGACTTAGACCGGGACCAGACCAGGACCAGACCAGGACTTAGACCAGGACTTAGACCAGGGACCAGACCAGGACTTAGACCAGGACTTAGACCAGGACTTAGACCAGGACCAGACCAGGACTGAAAACGTGTTAGTCCTGTTTTAGTCCTGGTTCAGTCCGTACGCGGTGCAACAGTCCAGCATCACAGTTTAAGTCATGGAAACGGGAAACAGCCGTTATCATTTTTTTTTCCATTATTCATTTAAACACAAAATCAGAAACTGAAAAAACTGAAAACAAATGAACGAATGATACACAAATGATGCCACTCTGTCTCGCTGGGTAAGTTGGGCGACCTGATTTTCAAAACCAAAATCTGGGACACCACGGGTTTGGAGCTGTGATAATAATAAAACTGTGAAACGAGTGCGTAATTAAGAAGAACTGTTCTGCACTCGGCCCATCCACGACAAACATGTGTCAGTGTGGTCAGGTTTTCTTTTGTGGTTTAGGTTTAGTTTGAGATGTTCTTCAGTTTAGGTTTAGATGTTCTTCAGTTTAGTTTGAGATGTTCTTCAGTTTAGTTTTAGATGTTCTTCAGTTTAGGTTTAGATGTTCTTCAGTTTAGTTTAGATGTTCTTTGGCTTAGGTTTAGATGTTTTTCAGTTTAGGTTTAGATGTTCTTTGGTTTAAATGTTTGTTTAAATGTTCTTCCCATCAGTTTCCATCTTCAAACAGCAGCAGCAGTGAGAGTCCAGGTTTGTGAAACGTGTCCAGTGGCGCCTCCTACTGGTTCTCCACGGTGTTTCAGTTTGAACATGACATGAAAACTCCACACGCTGGGGACGGGAGGGTGATGTGGACCAAAATATCTCAAGACTATTTTTATATCGTGACAAAAACACCAGAGCCACGTGTTCAGTTTGGTGAATCTGAGTCAAACGGAGAGGAGGGAGTGAAAGAAAAGATGTGCTCTGTTCCACTTCCTCTTCCTCAATGAACGAGTCTGGGTCTTTTTGTTTGAGCTGCGGGAATGAACACGTCCCCTTCAACCAATCATCTTCAACCAATCATCTTCAACCAATCATCTTCACACCGCAACTACTGTGAATGAAAGAGAAAGAGGGAGAGAAAGAGAGAGAGGAGGGGAAGAAAGAGAGAGAGAGCGAGAGAGAGAGAGAGAGAGGAGGGGAGAAAGAGAGAGAGGGGGGAGAGAGAAAGAGGGAGAGGGGAGAGAGAGGGGGGGGGAGAGAGAAGAGAGAAAGAAAGAGAAAGAAAAGAAAGAAAGGAAGGAGCAGCAGAGAGAGAGAAAAAGAAAGAAATGAGCAGTAAAGAGGAGAAAGAGAGTGAAAGAGAAAAAGAAAGAAAGAAAGGAAAGAAGGAAGGAAGGACGGAAGGAAGGAAGGGAGGGAGGGAGAGAGAAGCAGCAGAGAGAGAAAGAGAGAGAAGGGGGGCAAGAGTAGAGAGAGAGAGAGTGAAAGAGAGGAGAGAAGGGGAGAAATAGAGAGAGAGAGAGAGAAGCAGTAGAGAAAGAAAGAAAGAAAGAAAGAAAGGAAGGAAGGAAGGAAGGAAGGAAGAGAGAGGAAAGAAAAGGAAGAAAGAAAGAAAGGAGCAGTAGAGAGGAGAAAGAGAAAGTGAGAGAGAAAAAGAAGGAAGGAAGGAAGGAAGGAAGGAGAAAGCAGCAGTGAGAGAGAGAGAAAGAATGAAAGAAAGAAAGGAGCAGTAGAGAGGAGAAAGAGAGAGTGAGAGAGAAAAAGAAAGGAAGGAAGGAAGATAGGAACAGCAGAGAGAGGGAGAAAGAAAGGAGCAGTAGAGAGAGAGAGAGAGAGAGAGACGCTCTAGACGCACAGCTGGATCAGAGGAGAGCGGGAGTGACAGAGGAGGAGGAGGAGGAGGGACACGCGCGCAGATAACACGTGTGGAGGATGGAGAGATAGAGCTAGAGATGGAGATAGAGATGGAGACAGAGACGGAGAGAGGGAGGGAGGGAGGAGAGAAGAGGGAAGGAGGGAACGCGCTAATAACATGTGTGACACGGGCGCACGCTCACAGCTGGAGGAGAGAGGATGGAGAGATAGAGACGGGGGGATGGATGGATGGAGGGAGGGAGGGAGGGAGAGTTAAAAGGCGCAGAGTCGCTCGGGTTTGGATCAGAGGATGAATGAGAGGAGCGTGAATCAACGTGCGCGGATTTAGTGAATGAAAACGCGGATGAACGGACGCTTTACGCAAATGGACTTTATTCATCATTTTAACATCGACACAGAACCGGCGAGCGCGTCGAACAAGAAGATTTTAACTCTGAAAATCTACAACGAGCACAACTATTCTTTACTTCCAGAACTTTCCTGCGGACTTTTCTGACTTTGACGCAACGGGAAAGCGCTTCTTCCCCCCGGCTTGAGTTGCAACCACGTGTCGGTAAACTTCCCCGTAGATCAAAACTACTCCCAAAATTGTAAGCAAAAGGACTAATCCAAACTTTTGGAGACGTGCGCGGCCAGGATTGTAAAGACTTCCGCGGTGATGTCTGAAAAGCGAGCCCGGTTTGAGTAACAGTTTTGGGGTTCGGTTTTTTTCACCAGCTTCCCTCCGAGGAGAGTCCAGTTCCAAATACGGGCTTCTCCAAAAAACGTGACACTATCAGGCTTCCAAATCGTATCCAAAGTTATCCAAGACTTGATGCGCGTAAAAAGAACTAAATAAAGTCCAAAAACTCCCGCTGACTTCCCCAACAAATGCAGCGTCTTGTGAAGAGGATGCCCGAGGAGAGAGCGCGTTTCCCGGTCCAACCTCTGCAGCGAGACCCGGTGAATTTCCTGGAGCGATTTTCCAAAGTTAATTTACATCCAAAATGAAGAAATAACCTCCGGGAGACGATAATCTTCCAAAGTAGACCGCGCTGTTACGCACGAAATTACTAAAAATTGCGCACAGACGTCCAGCAGTTCCAGGGGCTCTGTCTGCGCTCTCAGCCCGGAGATAGAGCACCATCCCCGGCTTCGGTTGACTCACGCTCCACTTGAACATCCACGGAGCTCTTCACATCCAGAACACAGACTTTAGACAAAGTTTGATCCAAAAACAACAACAAAAAATACATGTAGTGACTTCCAAAACTTTACAGCGGGACAGTCAAACACATGTCCCGAAACAGGAGCCGGTTTCCCCGCTACAGTCCTCACCACATCCCGATAAACTCTCTGGAGGTGACTCTTTATTGCTTTTTTACAGTTTAGATGTCCAACTTTTTCATCATTGTCCAAACTTTTCACATAAAACTGACATGAATGTGTTAAACAAAACCACGCATTCCATGCGTAAATTTCATTTTTACGCACCATCGCAGCAGCTCAAAAATACTTTTAATCACTTCCAGTTGCAGAATTAAGAATTAGGAAAACTTCTGGCGATGATTGATGACTGTGAACAAGCACAAAATTAACCAAAAAAGAGAGAAAAAAATGTTGACTTTATAAGATTTGAGAGTTAGTGCTTCTTTTATCTGAGCTGATAATATGAATTTATGTTCTTTGGAAATACCACACAATACTACACTGTGAACAAGTCCAAAATTTACCCCGCCCCCTCCCCCCCAAAAAACTTTGATAACTTTATAAGATCTGAGAGTAAGTGCTTCTTGTATCTGAATTGATAATATTATTTTTTATTCTTAGGAAATGCCACCAGTTTCCATTTTTGTCAAGGGTAGCCAGAATATTCGGAAACAGTTCATTTCTTCGTCTTACATTATTCATTTAAAGTAATATTAAGACATTTAAACCCGATCCTAACCTCGCCCCCTCCACCCACCTCTGCTCCTGTCCCCCCAGTCCGCCCCAGCTTCGCCCGGTCACGAGGTGGTCCCCCGATGCTGAATGTGGACCGCGAGGCACCTGCCGCAGCTGATGTCCCTGGAGGGTCATGAGCGCGCGCTGGCGGAGGCGACGCTGGCCCCGGTGCGCAACGTGAGCGCGCCCGCAGCGGAGGAGGAGGACGGGGGCGCGCACGGAGCACAGCACCGGCAGCAGGTCACGTGGGTCGCGACGCTGCTCGCGGGGGTCCTCATCACCACCATCGTAGTGGACGTCATCGGGAACCTGCTCGTGATCGTGTCCGTGTTCAGGAACCGCAAACTCAGGAAAGCAGGTAACACCGCCCACTGAATGTTTTTAAAAGTAAAATAGACTCGTGTGAACTTTTAGACATGTTTAGGGTGATCAGATTTTCCAAAAAAAAAAAAAAAAAAAAAAAAAAAACTGGGACACTCGGTTTGGGGTGGCTGTGAAACGAGTCATTAAGGAAAATTGTTCTGCACTCGGCCCATTCATGACCAACACGTGCCAGTATAGTCACATTTTCTTTCCGTTTTGTTGATTTTTAAGCAGGTTTTTCTGTATTTTACCTAAATAAACAACTATTTATGTCTCTCTTTACTGTTGGCTGGTATCAGATTGGTCAAAAATAGAGACACCAGGGACATTTCTTGTATAAAACTGGAACAAATCAATGGTTTTGGATAAATCTGCTGAGACAGGGGACACAGGGCTCAAAACTGGGACTGTCCCGGGTAAATAGAGTCGTCTGGTCATCCTAGCCATGTTAGAATGTTGTTACCTCCTCAAAAACAAACCTAGAGTTGTGTTTGTTTCATTCACACATGTTTGAGTAACCCTTTATGATTAGCCTGTCAACATCTCCAAAGATCAGAATGCTCTGTTCCACTTTGTGATGTCATGAAGGGGTGGTGTTCAGATCCCTTTGACCTTTAGTTCAGTAGAGCTGAAATCATCCAAATTATTGTTGCAAAAATGTTTTATTCGAATTACAACTCATTCCACCACTAACACTGTCTTCTTTTATTCATCAAACTTAACATTCTCAATATTTATTATATTAATATTTATTATATTTGTATTTTTATTGTTACAAACTGGCTCAGAGTTCGAACAAGAGGGAGTCCACACATGTTTAAAAATGGTACAAAAATAGATATTTGTTTAAAAGCAAGGTGCAAATAAAGTTGTGGCTGCATGATGGAGAGGAGAGAAGAGAGTTCAGTCTCCAGCAGCAGTTTTTAAAGGTGCTATGCCACGTCCACAGTCAGGTGCAGCTCATTATGTTGGTTCTCCCACTCTGGAACGTGGAAGGGAGGGGAGAGAGCCAGCAGCAGCCAGTGTTGGGAAGGTGACTTTTCAAATGTATTCCCCTACAGATTACAGATTACATACCCCAAAATGTAGTTTGTAACGTAATCCATTAAATTACTTAAAATGAGTAACGTAATCTGAATACTTTGGATTACTTGATATTGTCATGGTTTTTTTTTTAACTACATGAATGTAGCGACCACATCCTGAAAATTCATGTTTGTTCTCTTTAAATTGGCCCTGGTTAAGTCCTGGTTTAGTCCTGGTTTAGTCCTGGTTTAGACCTGGTTTAGTTCTGGTTTAGTCCTGGTTTAGTCCTGGTTTAGTCCTGGTTTAGCCCAAAATGTGAAAACAGGAAAATACCACCATGTAATCCATTTATTTCAACAAAGTAACTGTAATCCAATTACCACTCACTGAAACAGTAACTGTAACTGAATACAGTTACTCATAATTTGTACTCTGACGTCTCTTACGTAACTCCAGTACATGTAATCTGTTACTTCCCAACACTGGCAGCAGCACACACGCCCCTACAAAATACAAACCCAACCTGGGGTCGTAACATTTATGTATAAAATTCTTTATAATACAACTACGATCCCTGATCATTTCACTCATTTCACTTTAAAACCAGTGCATAGATCATAGATCATACAAAACTCATCAAAATCATCAAAATCTAAATGTTCATGTTCCAAAATGCGTCACATCAAGAGCTCAGTTTTGCTTTGATATCGAGGCTGTAAATTGTGGAGCAAGTTTTCACATCTGAAACGTCGTTTGAAGAAATGTTTGATATTTTATGGTAATGTTTGATAATCATTCAGTTGTGTATTGTTAGCGTGTTCCAGTTGTAGGAAATAATGACTGGAATCGATTGATTGAATCACAAAAAAATTATTCCCTATTCAATACAATTCTAATACAGAACTCTGGGTCAAATCACTGTCCCTGATGGCCTACAGCTACACAGGACTTAAATCAGGCGATCTGACTGACTGCGTGTCCCTCAACCCAGAAATCTAAAATATCAGTATGAATATGCAAATGATATGTTGAGCAGGTTCACGCCTTGGATCCTCCCTGAAGCTTCTCCGCTGTCCTTTACCATAAGAGGATGAGTCTATTTAGACTTGGTGCCAGCCAGGATGACCCCACTTCAGCTGCTCTGTAAAGAATGTCCTTAAAAATACACAACCTTCACAGCAGTATCTTTAAACATATATATCAGATTTCAGTTGTTAGGCATTAATTATGTGACTTCATTAACAATATCTAAACACATATTTCAGTATTTAATAATTGCATGTGGTACACTCACGATACTTTATTACTTGATACAACCTTCAGTATCAAATCATTCAGTTTGAATCAAATGTATTTAATCTAAGGTGTGTTAATTTGTTTTGTTACCTCTTACGGCACCTACTTTTTTATCTCGTGTGCTTTTTTTATTGTCATATGTTATAAATGTGCAAAATAAATTAATTAATTAATTAACAGAGTGGAGCACTTCCTGTATTAGCACATGACATCACAAGGTGGACCAGAGGGTTTTCTGTTTGAGAGAAGAACTGTAAATGTGCAGGGTTTGTGTGTTAAACATGTGTGAATGAAACAAAACGCAACTCCAGGTCTGTTTGTGATGAGGAAACAATATTAGAACAAAGATCAAATTATGTAACACGGGACTTTAAAGATGCACGATGCAACTTTTCTGGTATAATGTGCGCCACCTGTGATTCTGTCGTTATGTTAGTTTAAGTCTAGCTCTTTTTTTCTTATTCTACCAGAGTTATAGGCCTATATCTGATCTGCCAGTGTAATACAAAGAAGAACGTTTCACATAAGCAGATGTCTAAGTTGAAATTAAAGCGAGTCTGTAACGACGATCTCTTCACTTGTCTCCACGGAGCATTAAACGTACTGTAGGTATCTCCAAGCAGGTGCCCGTGGGCCAGGTTACAGGTCAGATCAGTGGAGAAGCAATATGTTGTTTTGTTTTTTTGCAGTAATAATGTGTGTTTTGAGCAGTTCTGTCTCCCTTCTCCTCTGAGTTTGGCGGTTGTGGGTTAGACTTCTCATCTTTTTGAATGGAGCGTGCAGTTCTAGCAGTGAGTAGTCTGGTGATCTACAGCTGCAGTGTGTCTGAAAGAAAAACGAATGAGTCGAAACAAATGAATGCTATAATATAAAGTTGCTTCAGATGTTCCACAGTACAGCATTAAAGGTCGTGGGCTGGACCATGTGGACAGGAGAGCTGGTTTAAAGGGCCCATCTCATGCAAAATCAACTTTTCAGAGCTTTCTATCTTCTAAAAGTATATGTATATGTCGCCCAAGTGGTTTTTAGATTGATTCGGTGATTTAGATTGATTAGACTTTCCCAAAAAAAAAAAAAGTATAGCTTGCTTCGTGGTAATTAATGACAACAAAAACAATAATTTTATTTAAAGTCTGTCTCTGAAACTTTATAAACCGGTAAATTATTAAAGCATTTTGGCGATTCTTGCGTTTTTTAATTCGTATGTGAATTTTTTTCAAAAAGTCTTCTGGACAAAAGTCACTGTTGACTTCCATATGCAGCATGGTCTCTAAAATCAAAACACAATGAGTAAATAACAGCTGTGTAATCTTCGTGATGATTAAATGGAGCACTGCGTAACATTTCTGATTTCTGATGGAGGCTGTATCTATCGCCATGGAGACAAGAATATCTGCTCACGTCAGTTTAAAGGGCCCGTCTCATGCAAAATCAACTTTTCAGAGCTTTCTACCTTCTAAGAGTGATGTGTGGGCCTTGTATCTGTTGGCCAAGTGTTTTTTAGATTGATTTGGTGTTTTTTTCACAAATTGCAGTGTATTTCTGCCACCCTCCCACGTGACAACGAACTAAAGCTGCTACAACGATGATGCAGCAGATACAATTATGACGCGTTTGACGTAGCAGAAAGCGCTTCGCACCCGACCCCCTCCCCCACTCCACCGCCTCCTCCCCGCATCAGCTGACAATTCCCACATGAACACTTAAACAAAAGTGACAGCATAAGCTCATTGTTCTTCACTGCAGTGTACACGATATAATAAGTTTATCTACTAGTGTTTATTAATACTTTACCAATCAGCAGTGAAGGGTGAATGGAGCCTTGTGAAGCATTGACACCTCAGTCACAATATTGTCTCAAATGGTTCGACGTGTCTGAGGCCTCGGAGAAACACTGACCTCTAGTGGACAAATTTAACAATAAGACAATACTTGTGTGCAGAGCGACACCGTACCTAACAACAACAATAATAATGATGATTTAAAATAATATGTAAAGAGCAACATAAATAACATGCTGTAAATAAGAAAACAGGTGTTTCCTTGTTAGGTGGAATTAGATCAAAGTGATCCCAAACCATGGATCGCTTTTTTTCCACTTGTAGATGCCATCGAAAATGAAACAAAATGCCAAAAGTCTCCAAAATCACCACTAACGTCACACAATACTCCTCATGACCCAACATTTTTAAGAAATATTGGTGCATCTTTTATACTGTAGTAGTTTAGCGCTTGTCAAACCACAGAAGTGCGCTGAACACTCTGAACACTCTGAACCAATCACAGAGCGGAACATTCGCTGAGCCAATGAAATGCTTCGATACACTGAAGCGGCTCACTCAGAGCCTATGTCACGTTTGGAGGGCGGAGCCTGTGCTTTCTCAGGACGGGCGGGGGGAGGAGCAACAGCCAGTCTTTCATAGTTCCTGGTCTGTGACTGTCTCCAAGAAATCAGTAAGATTTCAGAACTATTGTGTAATGGATGTTCCAAAACCCAAATTGTGCTTGTTTATGTGCAGAAGATACAATGTGAAAAGTGTTATTTTACATGAGATGGGCCCTTTAAGATCTGTTTTGTTTCATTGTTTGAGTATTTGCTTTGTTTAAGGGAATTTAGGCCCTTGTTAAACAAAGGTTTAGCTTTATCGGGCTCTGTTCATGGTAGTAAGTCTG